TAAGACAGAGGTGGGATCTTTGTGATTGAGACACTTGTAACAGTGCTCATGGGTTCACGCTCACGGGTTCACCTCCTCACCCCTTCTCTTTAGAAATCTCAGGCTCTGTTCAGTGAGATGCGACATTCATGGCAACCACAGTGAGCTAAGAGATTGCTTTCGTACAGACATGAGCTATCCATGCTGGATTGTATAAACTCTGGCTTCCAGAGGAAGTTGGTGGTTTTCTTTTTACTAGTGCAAACCTCAGTGCACAGTGGATTTAAGAGGCTATGTTCCTTTTGTGAAGGAAGTAACTGTAATGAGGATCCAATGTTGTATTCATGTACATAAAACACAGAAAAGTCCTATATCTGTAGATATCAACAGCAAGCGGTTATAATGGGGTTTGTCATACAGTACCAAGTTCATATTTTCATAGTTGGGGATGAATGCTCACATCAGTGGTTTTGGAAGATCTAACCAATAGGCACGATTTTCTCTTCTGAGTACTACTGGGACATATGTGCAGACCCAGTACATACCTTTGTTCTGTGTAATTGAAAATATTATGTATTTTACAGGTTTATGTAGATATCATTTCATTTGGATTGTATTTAGACAAGTGGACCGCATTAGTGAACTTTTCCAGGTGTGAATAACACTACATTAGAAAAAAGAAGGCAAAAGTCTTCCTCACTGTAATTGTGATATTGAGGCAATTTTAACGTTTATTGAATTCAATTTTTAGGCAAAATTATTTTTATACAATCCACATTATTGTCTTTAGGTAATTGTGTTTTATACTTATGTGATTACGGTCTAAAAATATTTCAGGATATCACAGGATTGTTTGCAAACACATAGAAGGATTTTCTTAAATGGAACAGAGAAAAGAATGAATATACGATTTTAATATGATTAGTTTTTCTTTTCTAGCAGGATGTATTTTAATTGGTGAAAAATGTTGCATGCATTCTGATGATTATTACTCTATTTGTTCTATATGTTTTCAATCCTGCTATGTCTTTCTTTTTCCATTTTTTACTTAAATTAGAAACAAGATTGTTTTACATGTCAATCACAGTTCCCTCACCCTCCCTTCCTCCCTTGCCCCCCCCACTAACACCCTACCTATCCCATACACTTTCTCCTCCCCAGGGATGGTGAGATCTTCCATGGGGGTCTTCAGACTCTGTCATATCCTTTGGGATAGGGCCTAGGCCTTTCTTTTGCCATTGGTAGGATCTGGGGAATCTGGGAGTTAGAGTGATATCAGTGTGCAAAGGTGACTGCATTCTAGCTTTGCAGTTTCTAGGCTTATGCAGTTAAAGGGAGACAAACATCCAGTGAA